ATGAATGAATGAATGAAAACATATATTTATTATTTTGTCAATGGATGGACTTAGTTTTAAAAAATGCCGATTAGCTTCAGATAACAGATACATAATTCTTATGAATGTGACAATAACATAAAGTCTTATCTTAATGTCATAATGGTTCAGATCTTATTCTCATGTATTGGCTTGGATGTTGCCATGCTGTGTTGTTTCTTATATTGTAATTTTGAAATAAAAATTTTAGTTGTGGTTATAATGATTGAGGCATTTACATAAAATATAATTTTATGTAAAAGTGAGAATGAAAATGTGTTATTTAATGTTCCTAGAAAATTCATTGATTTTTTTTGTAAAGGTTCTTTTAGAAATAACCTAATTATAAATACCTATGAGTTTAAATATACGTAAATATAAAAATAAATCATACGCGAAATATATTTATATTTAAAACGGTTAATAAAAAACAAATCTTAATAATTTTTTGCAAATAAAAACTAACTAATTATATAATCATTTAAACCTAAACATACGATCGAAAGAAATAGTTCCGAACTATTTGTACGGTAGTGAACTAGTAAAAGACCACGTGAAAGACTGACTGAGACTGAACCGACAACCGACCGAAGAAAACGGGCGGCCGACATCTGGCAACCAGTTATGTTAGGGTTGGATTTCGATTTCGGTCCTACAAATAGTTCTTTCGCGAACTAGTTCACTAAACTAGTTCATTTTTGTGAAATAGTTCTCTTGAACTAGTTCGTCTAAAAGAACTAATAAGCACATGTCTAGTACACAGGTGTGCATACGCGCGGGATAAAAGTCGACCTCCTTTTTATACTCCGAAGAGGACCATCAAGTATTCAACGTTAAAATCTGTCAGATATATTGAGAAAGAAACATCTGATACACTGTTTTAGAGTATATATAGTTTTAAAGTGTCTTGTTTATGATACTAATTTTTTAAGCGAAGCTTGGACAGCTGAGACAATGTGAAACACGGAAAAAGATGAAGAAAAATTGAGAATTTTCGAAAGGAAAATCCTCAGACGGATTATGGACTCGATAAGAATGGACAACAGAGAAATGAGAAGAAGAATTAATCATGAACTAAGATACCTAATGAAGGGAGAAGATATAGTTAGATTTATTAAAACACAGAGGCTAAGATGGCTGGAACACATAGAGAGAAGGAAAAACGGCCTACTGATTAAAAAGATCACCAGATGGAAACCAGCAAAGGGGAAGACCAAAGAAAGAGATGGGACGACCAGGTCATGAGAGATATCCCAATTCTGGAGGTGAGAAACTGGAGGGAACTATCCACATATCGAAATTAGTGAAAGAAAGTTGTAACGGAAGCCATGTCATACAACAAACTTTGACAACATACAAGTGGAATGCGGAGTGATTTACCGCAATAAGCGAATCAGAGAGCTCTAAGTAAGAGCAGCAAACATTCCACCCGGAATGAAAAGCCCTGATGGTGATGATATCAGGGTATGTTTGTAACATGTATTTTTAATAAAAAAATTATTTTTGTGTATTTTTGCTCTCTTGGAAACAGTAGTCTCGCAGATTACGTTACGCAACTACCAGTTACGTTACTGCTACAGCACCGAACCAGTTAACCATTTATATGAAATTATTTTAAAACGAGAATTAATATAAAAATTTAAGCAAATCATTCAATGTTGTTATTAATCGGATGACATTTAAGACTTTTATTACATTTTAACAATCGTTATGAATCGAATCTTTATAGTTTTAGTTTTTTAGTGAATTAATGTCAAGAACCGCTATCCTATGACGCTACCCGTGACGACTCAATCTTGTGGCGCTAGTTCCGTGAAGCCAACATCAGCATGTTACTATAGAGAAAAGAAAGTAATAGAACGCCAGTATAGAAGCTCCCCTCCAAAAGTTAATTTGATAAAAACATCGGAAAAATATTTTAATTTTCAATATCTCAAAAAGTGTAGGTTTTTTGATTTTCTATTCGATGAAACTTGTTTCTAAATGACATTGGGGATCAATTAGCTGTTTTATGGTATCGTGGCCACAAACATGGTGATTTGTTTCTGGCTAGTTGTTTACTTTATTCTTTATGTTCAGTTAAGTTTTATCTTTGTGGTTTTAAATGTCTAATACAGCCATGTCAAACTAAAAGTACTTAGCGGGCCATTTTTAAAATGATCACAGTATCAATGGGCCGCACCGCAAGACTCGGCCAAACAAAAAAAAATGGATAGTAAAGATAGTCCAGCAATCGTTTAATAGTTTTAATTACATAATAAAAGTAAATAATTGAAAAACAGGTAGGTAAGTTAAGTTGCAATAATTACAATTTTTTCCCTGAAATCTGACACCTTTTATCTTTAATTAAGTTATCTATTTGAGGAGTAAATTTATCTGCTGAAATCAATTTCAGTACTGCATCCAAGTGTGTGTCAGTCAATCGCGATCGTGTCGGTGATTTATTTCCTTTCATCAAGGAAAATAATTGCTCGCACTGATAGGTACTTCCGAACATTGATATCACTTTGCAAGCAAAGTTCCGTAGTTCTTCATACTGGACAGGTAGGTACTTATAAAATTCAGATGAACCAACATCATTAAATTTTTGTTTCAAGTGAGTCTGACATTGAATTTCAATGACATCCATCTGCAAGTGATCGGGAACTTTTTCTATGTCAATGGAGAAAAGGCCTGTGAATAAGGAAAAATTTGCATCTTGAAGTGTAAAATCTTAAAACGTCTCTCAAACTCGGCCTGCAGACTTCTAATTTTCTCGACATATTTATTATACGAAATTTCGACACTACTATTTTCTTGGAAGTCCTTGCATGTCGGAAAATGCGACAAATTATTAACTGCTAACTGCTTTTCCCACAGTAATAACTTGCACTTGAAAGATTTTACTTGATCGTTCATGTCTGTAATAATTTGACGTGGTCCTTGCAACTTTGTATTTAGCTCTGATAGGTGTTTTGTGATATCTACCATAAAAGAAAGATCTTGTAAAAACGATACATCGGACAGCAAACTGACATCTTGGTTTTTTATTTCCATGAAAAGTCGTATTCCTCTCTTAGTTTCCAAAATCGATCGAGAACCATAGAACACGAAAGCCACCGCACCTCCGTATAATAAGGCAAGCCCGCGTATTCACTTTCTAAATCGCGTAGAAACGCAGTAAATTGTCGCTGATTCAAACCACGTGATCTTATAAAGTTAATAATTTTTTTACTGCTTTTAACACACTTTCCATCTTTATCACTTTTGAACATAGGATTTCTTGGTGTATTATACAATGAACGTGGTGAAAATCTGGTAGGTTTTTGTATGTCTCCTTAATTCTGGTCTGTAATAATTTAATGAAGCCATTATTTATTCCTGTCATAGAAGGAGCCCCGTCAGTTGCAACAGAAGACAATTTTGATAAATTCAAATTATACCGTTGTAGCAGTTCATACACAGCATTCAATATATCCTCCCCAGTCGTTGTGTCATGCAAAGGCACCAATTCCAGTAGTTCTTCATAAATATTCATTTCTTTATCAACAGCACGAAAAAAAAAACAGCGAGTTGAGCCACACCACACACGTCTGTACTTTCGTCGCAGGCAATTGAAAATGCGATAAAAGTATCTGATTTCATTTTTATTTGATCGCTTATGTTACTAGCCAACTCAGTGACTCTTTCAGCGACTGTATTCCGCGACAAAGATATACTTTGAAAAGCTTTAACGCTTCTGGGACAAACAATTTCTGCGGCTTTCACGAGGCACTCTTTTATAAATTCACCTTCAGCAAAAGGTTTTGAGTGTTTGGCGATTAATGTTGAAAGTACGTAACTTGCATAAACAGCAGACTCATTTTCTTGTTTAGCTCGTGTAAACATGAGTTGTTGATTTGTTAATCGTGCTTTTAACTCGGTTAATTTTTCATTTCTTATTGCCCCCACATACTGGTTATACTTAGCTTTGTGCTGATCATAGTGACGTTTGATATTGTATAATTTAGGGACACTCACTGTACTGTTACAAATCAGGCAAATAATTTTGTCTTTCACTTCACTGCAAAAAAACTCCAACTCCCATTTTTCTTGAAATACTCGATGTTCGTCTGTGATTTTCCTCTTACTTCCACTTGGTTTTGAAAGAGACATTTTACAGTAGTAGTGGCATAAATAATCTCTAAAAACAATCTGCTATTTCGATACAAACAGTAGGTAGCGCGCTATTTCGATAAAATAAAATCACAGAATAAAACACAACAGAGTGGCGCGTCGATGTCGATCGGTCGTCAACTGGTTCTTTCTGGTTGGTTGGTTACATTCTTACTTACTGGCCGCCCGCCTGCCGCCTCCTGCATAGCAACAGGCTGGCGCAGGTATTAAGTAGCCTCGCCCGAAATGTAATAGAAAACACTTGAAAATATTATCTGTCATTATCGGTTTGTACATAATAGACGGCCTTAAAGATAGTAGTGTCCAATTTATTGGTTAAACGAAAATAAACTTTATTTAAGAGGCAGTTGAGTTTTTTTGCAACAAAATTACCTGTTATTTCGCAAACAATAGAACCCAAGATAAAGCGGTCAGACCGCAGGGGTGCTAATTTTTATCACCTTATCACCAGACCCTTCTCTCACAAGACATTTAAAAAACAATCACAATATGTACTTCTCAAGTATTGCAGTTGCAGTGCGTGCGGGAGAGAAGCACAGCTATTTTCTGCACCTGTGCTCTTCATGCGTTCTTATAAAATGTTTTAACTATTGTACTACATACATTGGGTTGGGCTTCGTGGGCCGCAGAAAATTACCTGATATGATCGGGCTGCGGGCCGCAAGAAAATGCCTGAAGGGCCGCATGCGGCCCGCATGTTTGACATGCCTGGTCTAATACTTTATATGCTAATGTATCGTATCTGTATGTCTGTCTAGCATAATTTCTTTTATAGTCTTGTTTTTTTTCCAAAAAGTGAATTATACGATATATTTAATAAAAAAACATTGATTTATAAAGTATATATTGGTTATAAAACACAGTAAATAATTAAGACAACATACTTGCATATTTTACATAGTAATAGCCTAACATGATAGAAAACTCAATAAAAACAAATCAGATAAACGCATCTGAATATCTTATTATTTGTAGAATAAATATGAACTATAATAATTTATCGCACGCCATGACCTTGAACAAGTCTTATGCTAACATCCACTGGCGAACTGCGTTCCTGAGAAACGTCCATTTCAATTTCATCTTCCTCTTCTTCATCCTGTGTTTCAGATTCGTCATCATCATCATTGTCGTCTTCGTCATCCTCTTCTTCATCTTCCTCAATGGTCTATAAAAAAAAAGAAAACTATATTTGGTTGCAAGAAAGGCATGTATTTTCGTTAAATCTAATGAATTTGAAGAAGGTAATAGAGTGGCATAACCTATTTGTTAAGTGTGATATAATTCTTATTAGTCTACTTACAGGTTATTATGTTACAGTTCTATTTTTTCTAACATACATTGTGTTTAGAGATAATGTGCCTGAACTAAATTGTTAATGAGGATAATTGCTTTTGGTGCAAATGATGTTTGGGCAATATTGATATCCAAAACAAAATTTATTGGGACAGGTACATTATTAATCAATTTCAATGGTAATGGATGGCTCAGACATAAACCGAGTTAAGGGAATTCAATTTTTAAAAAGATTTGAACGGTAGGTATAACTCCTAACATTGAACAAAAAAAAAATAGTGAACTGTGATACTTTCTCAACAATTAATGGCAGACCATACATTTAATAAAACTGAATATTCTATATAAAAGCCTAAATGGATGTGCTACCCGAATATGTAGACCTGAATATTTGGGAGAAGAATTGAAATATTTAGATAAAACGTTGAGACAAAAATGGATAGTACCATGTGAAATAAAACAATCTATTTATAAGATCATTCAATTACATTTGCCAAAAAGAATCAATCATAATATCCACCAATAATGAGAATCAGGAAGCAAAGTTCTTTTGATATCCTAAGATAATCCAAAGAATAATTGTCCACATCAATAATTTACCACATTTCCTGTAATTGTGGTTCACTATACATTGAACAACAAAACTTATTCTAAATGTCCGGATAAATAGATACAGGTATTCTAAATATATCTAAATAGATATGCATATTCAGAGAAGCCAAAATCCTGAAGTGAGAAATCAAAAAACATCCATCAACTTAAAAAATCAGAGAGGGAAAGATCCATTACAATGTGGTAAAGGGAATGGGACAAGTCCAGGAAGATGTAAAGAGCTAGGGAGAAAATAACAGAACGAAAGGTCACCCAACCTGAAACTGGGTACTCAGGAGCAAGTATGAAGATCAGAGAGAGTGTAGGAGAAAGTGAGATGCAGCAAATGTTGAGCATGGAGATTTAGAAGTTCTTATGACATAAGTATGTGTGCAGTCAACTTTCAGAAACACTGTACTAAGCATTATTTTAAGATGTATAACATTCATGCACCAATAACATGAGAATACAGGTTTCAAAATCCATATATGTGTAAATGGTTACAGTTAAGTTAGGTCATAAAAATAGTGCTTACCAAATAAATATTCATTGAATGGAACATTACAAACACTAAATATAATAAAATTGCATAAAAATGACCACCATAGCAAAAACAAATAGCAATTGATACAGTAAAGCTAAACCAACATTTAAAAACAGATTTTTTGAAGCTGTTTGTTGTTATAACCGGTCTTGCTGTAGCGACTTTACACTACATGATATATCATGTGATTTGTCATATGACTTTGTCTTAAGCGTTGCCATGTGGCTCATCACAGGAGAATAGGATAGTACCTATTCCACGTGATAAAACCATATGATTCTTGGTAATAATTCTTCCTGTACTACCAGTAACACAAACCTATTTAAATATTGTGCCTTATTCTTATGTAAATTCAGTGAAATTCCCTTCCCCAAAGACAAATTGCTTTATTTATTTATTTATCATTTCTTGCTTTGATATTGCGCTTATTGTCTTATTTTTAGTCATACTTTTAGTTTAAATTATGAATTATTTTTAAATTAGTATAATACAATATAATACAAACACTAAATTTGATATACCTGTCCACTATCTCTTAGTAAGAGCCACCTGTGTGCCCAAAGGCACCTGATCTTTTTATTCTTACCATTAGCTGCACACAGTTGTTGTCAGAGTATTATTATTAAAAGGCCAGAAACCAATGCAAGCAAAGATTTATTTTCCATTATAATAGTTTATAAATCTAATAGTCTTTACCTATATGGTGTCTAATATCTTAATAACCATAAACAAAAAGGAACATCAACATAACCTCATTGTCACTCATATCATAAGTCACACCTTATCATTCAGTGTAAACATGATTTTTTAAAAACATTATAGAAACGATTAATCATAACCAATCTCATATGATATTCTATCTATCTAATTAGCCTTCTTCTGTCCATCTTTGGACATAGGCCTCCCCAATCCTTTTCCATTCTTCTCTGTCTGTCACTACAGTCATCCACCTAGAGCTCGTGTGCATCTTGATGTCATCTGCCCATCTCATTTGGGGCCTTTCTCTGCTTCATTTATATTCTCACAGTCTCCAACTTATAAAAAATTAATTCCATCAGTCTTCTTTTTGTCTTATATTGTGTCCAGCAAATCTATCAGCCGGTTTCCGAAAGGATGATTATCTCAAAAATTATGTAATCGATGGTTAATCGTGGATCAAACGCATTTTGAGTTTCAGAAACGTCAATCAAACTACATTCAACAACAGTCGATCACCTAATTTAACAAAACAAACGATTAATCGTTAGTTAACAGTTGATCATATGTGTTTTGAGATTCTGAAACGCCGATTAACTAGTTTCGCATGTCAAACGACTGTCAAAATCGACTGTCACCTAATTTGAAGTTATTGGATGATTAAAGGGCTGTTAATATTTATAAAGAGTTGTTTTTAGTCATTAAATAGAGTTTTTAGTTATTAAATAGAGTTTGTATAGTTATTATATAGGTTAAATAGTTATTAAATAAAGAGTTTTTTAGTTTTTAATTATAATTATTAGTTATTTAATTATAATTTAGATTTTTAAAATTAAATATACATCTCTGATATTTCTGACCTTTCATTGTCGAGCGAGGAGGAAAATGACATCCCCTGGGTTAATCACAGAACCAGGATGAATCCAATGACACACTACAGTGATAGTGAATTTAAACAACGCTACAGAGTATCCAAGGAAGTTGTGACATAATAGTGGGACTAATAGATGGTATGGAACCAACAACCAAACGAAACAAATCTATTAGTGCCGTTGAGCAGATTTTACTGACAATCAGCTTTTATGCTACTGGAGGATTCCAAGTGACTGTGGCTGATAGTGTGAGAGTGCACAAATCAACAGAATGTCGAATCATCAAGAGAATATCTCTAGCGATAGCTAGGTTAAGGCCAGTTTTTATAAAGATGCCAGCAACAGCAGAGGAGCGCCTGAGTGTTAAATCTGGGTTTTATGCGTTGGCTAATTTTCCAAACGTAATAGGTGCTGTTGATTGTACCCACGTCAAAATTCAATAAGTTGGAGGCCCATAAGCACAACTGTTCAGGAATAGAAAAGGATACTTCTCTTTGAATACTCAAGATATATGTGATTCACAGCTAAGGATTCAAGATATCATTTGTAGATGGCCTGGTTCTGTGCACGACACAACTATTTTCAATGATAGCCACATACGTGCCGATTTCGAGAGTGATATATATGGGAAAGATTTTCTCTTGGGAGATAGTGGATACCCTTGTAGAAGTTACCTTTTGACTCCATTTTTGCAACCTAGAACAAATGGTGAGGAAGCTTACAATAAAGCACAAGTATCAACAAGAAATCCCATAGAGAGATGTTTCGGGGCATTAAAGAGACGTTTTCCCTGCCTATCTATGGGACTAAGGGTAAAACTAGATACAGCCATGAACATTGTTGTGGCCTGTGCTGTATTGCACAATATAGCTATCGATCACAATGACAACATTGATGATATGGTAGACGTTGAAGCTGCTATTTATTCATTTCAAATTTTTTTATTTGAAGTTCCAATTCTAAAATTTCTTTTTGTCTGATTTCATTATTTAAAAATACCAGTTTGCTTCTTTTTTCTATATTTGTACACTCAATTTTTTTTTATAATAAATACGTCTATTGGTTTCGCTCCCTACATTTTTTAATTTTTTATTTTTAAAACAAGCCTTAGACATTTTAGATTTTTTCTTGGGCAGGACAGCAGATGTCGAGGGTGTACTGAGCAGCACAGTGGAAGTAGAGGGTACATTGGATGTCTGTTCCGTGTCTTCCAATTGTAGATAATCTACTTTCACTTGACTATTTTGTGCAACTATAAAAATAAAAAAACTTTCATTTTTTTTTAGATATACCAGATAGTTTTTTCTTTATAATAAAACTTTCTCAAATTAAAGCGCTGACATTAAATTCCAGCGCTATTTTTTCCCAGGTTTCACTTTTTTTGCGGTGGTCATAGCATTTGTACATTTGTTTTCGATGATTTTCTTGTATCTGAAAACAAAGATACAATTAGAAATTTGTTCTATAAGTTAGACAATTTCGTACTTACTTTTCAATTATATGCAACAGTAAACACTTCTCCCTCTCTGTATAATTTTTGCGTGGAGGATTACTCATTTTTAATATTAATTTTTTAAATTATGTTGTTTTTTTAACGGTAGGTACAGCTTAAAATTTTTTGGTTGTTTATTAATATTTTGAAGGATGACAGCCGATTGTGACAGTATCGAAACCAAATCGTATGTCACAATTTCTACGATCATGTAATTTTAAGATAATTAACGTTTCAGAAACTGGTCACTGGTTAACAGTTAATCAAATCTAACAGCTCGATTAGATAATCGGAGATTTGAATAACGTTTCGGAAACCGGCCGTATGTCTAGTATATATTTATCATATGACAATGATATTGTCATAGGATAAATCATGTAGTGTAAAGATCCCATTATTGTACATCTTCCATTTGTTTAAAAAATTTCTGGTATCTGTATTGGGATTGAACCCAGGACATCTGATATAATGATTACAAAAACATGATAACAACTTTACGAAAGAAAAATGATATTAAAAATTTAATTTTACGTTGAGAAATGACTTGTACAATAAACAAACTAATATTAATAACAAAATAAAGAAAATCAATAAAACAATGGTATTGAATGAATTTGACACATTAATTTTAAGATGTCCAACATCTGAAAAACTGTTTAATAGGATGAACATGCAATTATAGTAATTTTTTAACTGCTTTTAATCTGATAATAATTAGTTTAGCCCAAAAATACACATTTCATAGCTAATATTCAATGTGTACTTACAATAAAATGGTAAAATTTATGAAAATGAAGCCAAAGGATACAGAATGTGCTGTATATAATATAAATTGATAATTAAAGATGAGAAAACAAATATAATTAAATCTAAAACTGCCCTTTATGCTTTACATGTTACTTAGATATTTTAAAACAATAAGATATTGGATGTCTATTATAAAGGACCATCCAATTTTAAAATAAGTATGCCTATAAACATGTGGAAGGAGTGTATGTCTTTTTATATAATCTGAAATACATGCCAAGTTACTTTACTACAGGACATTCTCATACACTTTGGGGTACATACATTATATTTCATTACCTCCGAAGCTGTTTTCCCAATAGGAGTTAAATCGGCATTTTTATGCTTTATAGACATCAGCTAAAAAAGTTAATTATTTATTTATAAGTGTGTATTATTTTTTGCACTATAATTACCCAATGTTCATGATCTTTTTCTAATTGAGTAACTTCCTCTTCATCATCACAAGGTTGATCGACATCAAACCAAGATGCATGCATCAAGCGAGGTTTTAAATTTGGAAATAATGGTATATTACTCATTGTATTTAATTTGGATTATTTTCCACCCTTAAAATTTTTGCCTGTAATCAAAATAAAAACAAAGATACTTGCAAGAAGTAAGAAATAAGGTTAGACTTAAAACGTTAGAGATAAAGTTTAAAGGTATGGATTATGATTTTAGAGATACTGATCAGTGATCAGAAAGTCAATGATAGCCCACTTTAGTATCCAGACCGGAACATTAGATGTATTACCAAAGACCAAATAATACTTTGGTGACCAAAGTATTATTTGGTCTGTCAGCCTGTCAAATATACTTATGTGGAGAAGGGAGAATATTATGTTTCAAAATTTAGTTTAATTAAATTAGTGCAAAATATCCCTTGTATTATTTAGAAAACTGAATAATAATTAAGTATACAAAAATAGGTCAGTAGGTGTTACAGTAAACTAGCGTCAAGCTTGATACTATGTTTTGTGACGTATTTTTGAAATATAAAGAATTTTTTAAAATTCAGTAAAATAATTTTATTTTTTAGTTATTATTTATATTTTAAACGAATTACATTAAAATAATTCAATAAATTGCTATGTTTGATCCTAACGCCATCTGATAACGTATTAACGAAGTATACAGTGTCTACTTCCGACAGACCTGTCAAATAAAATATAAATAAATATCATCTAATAGTAAATCATAAATAAATAGTAATTAATAGTAAATAGTAATTTATCATATAAAATAAATACCTAAAATATTTTAAAATAATAATTGTATTTATATGAAATTATTTTAAATCGAGACGTGTCATAAAAATATAACCAGATGATTCAATATGTTATTAATTGGATGGTATTTATGACTTCTAAATTTTGATAATCTTAATCTTTACGAATGGAATCTGTTATTGACCGATTCTTGTGAAGAACCACCACAAAATAAGAAAGCAATTGTTATTTGTTTTGTTTGAAAATACATACTTTAAATGAGAAATTAAATGAGAAGTAAAATATTAAAATAACATCTTTCAATAATTAATAGCATTTAAATAATAACATTTCTAATAATTAAATAATCTCGACCTAAATAAACTCGACCTAATAATTAAATTCACTATTATTTTAACAAATATTAAATTAGGTCTTCTGATAAACTTGTCCTGTCAAATTTCAACTGAAATTGACAGGTCTATTAGAAGGAAACATAATAATTTGTTGAATTATTTTAATATACCTAATATATATATTTTTTAAATATAAAAAATAAATGAATAATAAAATTACTTTATTCAATTTTAAACATACAGAAAACATAGAATGAGTCTTCGCGCTAGTCTACACTACCGTCTAGTGTACCATCTTTTTTATTTAGCTAGATTATTAGTATATTATAATATATAGAATATTAATAAAAGAACAAACTAACTTAATTTAGCTTTAGAACTGAAATAGTTATTTAACCAATAAGTGTATTAATAAGGGCGATTAATAATTGAGATATTTTAACTTATTTCATTTATTTAATTTTTTTTGTTACATGTTCGAGATTCTTAATCGCCATTTTAATTCACGAGTTCATTACAAAACTTTTCCGTCGACTGTACTTTTCAGAAATAAAAATATTTTAGTTTAAATTTTTATTTACTTAACGATAAACAACTTTTTCAGCTTTCATTAACTTTATTTAAAGTTTATAATTTTACTTAGTGGTAGTTGTATTATTGTAAACATTAATATTCAAAATAGTACAATTACTTAAATTAAAGGAAGGTATTGATAAATGATTATCTCCTGTATAGCATTTTGACAAATTTATATTTAAGTCTTCTTGGACCTCTGTAAATTCTGTGATAGAAGAAGAAGCGGTGGTGAAAGTAGTAGGTGGTAGGAAGGAAGTACTTTGACAAGGTGGCATTTTGTACCAAGAGGTTTTCAGCCGTCTCAAGTATATTCTGCATAGAATTATCTACAAAAAATATAAGATAGAATTAACCTTCTGCTACAGCAGTCGCCTTCCAGCCAACTAGTCTTTTAATATATGAAAAATCTGTACCACTGTCACACAGTGCTTAATTTCTAAAATTTTAGTCATGGATCAATGGAGGGGGAAAGGAAGGGGGTGGGGTGGGTATTGCTTTGTTATTGAGAGGCGCAGCCGCAAACTAGGATGACTCGCCCGTCACCTTCCTCCTGCCTGATTCCGTGCAAGACTCATCACAGCACAGCTCACAAGTCACAACTGCTTGTACGGGCGCTTACTATCTGCTTACGTACGAGTCACTCGCAAACAAAGCATAGCATAATATTGATCCTACCTACAATTTTTTTTAACTAAAACTTGTAGTTTTAAAAGCGTTCCCTTGCGTTCCGGCACTCTTGGGAGGTAAGGGAACGCCGTTCCCTTGCGTTCCCACTGAAATTAACCACTGCTGTCACACAGTATTGAGGCAGAGGAACGTCTAAAACAATGCCCAGTGTAGAGATGCGGGTGCTCTAATTTTAAAAATTTAGCAATAACGGAAGGAATTTTGGAAAACGTATTTATGCCAACTGACTGTCTGGAACATTTGTTCTTTTTATAAAAAATGAAAAATCGCTTATATGGTGTGTGTGCCGATTTTAAAGAAATATAGTTTTTGATCGCATTGAGAATGGTATTTGCTTCATTATCTACTACGGTTAATATCCTATTTGTGTGTGTTTTTGATACTTTTATTGTGACAAGAAACTTTGACCCCAAGTCTTCAACGTTATTTGTTTATAATTTCAATAGTTTCTTAACGCACCAGCCACTCCGAAAATCAATGCAACCTACAAAATGAAATATTTTGAAATACGAGTATTAAATATATAAACTTAATTAACTGGTTTACCTTTATCATTAAAAACACGTCGTCAGGAGCATGAGAGATGAATTTCTGGACTTGTTCTTTTTCAACTGTTTTTGATTTCTTTGGTACAAAACCTGTTCTTTTTTCTCGATACATACAACATACTTAACTTATTATATTTAGATATATCAACGTTTGATTTTAAACTTATGGTTGATTTTAGCATCGAAGATTTAGGCCAAAAACTTGCTATTATGTCAAAAAATATGTCAACAATACAGATTCTGAATATCATTTTTCTCTCGTCGCACCATGCAATAAATTCAGCGTATGTTTTTTCGTCCAACACTCCGCTTTTTTCAGACAGTAAACATCGACAATTATTATTATTTTAAACAATAAAGTTAATAATGACACGATGACAGATAGTACTAACAGAGGCTACTTCATTTTAAATTTTTTAGTGGGAATATAAATAGGTATATGTTTGGTTGCCTATACCACAGGTCACAGAACGTTTAATTAATTTAATGCAAGCAATGTATGTTGTGTTGCCTATAATGAAATCGTTCATTAATAAAAAATCATTCATTAATAGGCGTCATTAATCAATGATTTTGAGTTCATATTTTCTAGAATTTAGATTTCTGTGTTTATACGTCCATGATTTTGAGAGTGTTAAAATTGATCATAAATGGACGGTCGACGGAAAATTCATATTAACGCTCAAAACCAACTTTGATTCATTACAACTAGGTTACAACTTATGTCTTACGTTTACTGACATTTATCGATTCATTAACTTACTATAATTTGACATTTCAACATTTGTGTTGTGTCGCAAGAGACGTAACGTCATAACATCCTAAATATCCCCTCCTGAATTTACACAACAAAGCTGCAAAAAGTATTATAAATGACTCAATAGAATCGATTAATTAGATCCATAATGTGCAACTTTCTAATTTAATTGTTTATAGAACAACCTATTGAATAACAGTGATGGCTAAGTTGTGATAAATGTTTATATTTTGCTATGGCAAATAGACGTGATGTTTTGAAAACTTCAATGGATCCACTGCCAAATGCCAGTGACCCTTTAAGGGATCTATTTGAAGCCTGCAAAGTAGGAGATATTGCCAGAGTGCGGAAATTAGTTACTCCCGTTACTGTGAATGCCAGGGATACTGCTGGAAGAAAGTCTACACCCCTTCATTTTGCAGCTGGTAAGTTGAATTACATTCTTCCCTGTACCTAGTTTCAATACAAAACAAGGAAGTGTACAAATGTATAGTTAGCAGGAAGTGTGAAAATGGCTTATATTAATATTCCACTCATCATGTATGGTGCAACTTTTTAACATGTTTATGTATGTAAATAGGTAAAATAATGTTAAGTAAATCAAAATGTAGGTATTTATTTTTTCAGTAATTTCTAAGAATTCTAATTTGTTTATACACAACTTTTGTTGTTTATAATGGTTCCATTAAATAAAGAAACACCAATTTTTATAAATCTTTATAAACTAATCTTAGGGTCATTAAGAAATCATTTTTCTTATCTGAAATTACGTAGCACAACATCTTTTGAAGACTTTCATGTAAAAGCAATTCTAAATATTTACAGTAATAAATACTATCATACATTATTACTAATGGAATTAAACAACAGTTTAAGCAAGAAGTAAAGTATGATGCAAATAATAGTCATTTACTGTGTAACTCCATTTTATATTAGAAAATTTTTATTTATTAGGTTTATTTATATTATATGGTGTTATTATTATTGGTTTTATAGTGGTTAGTATTAGTAGTAAGCTTGTGGCTATTTTTTTAGGTACACTATTAGTTGCATCTATGTTAGTCAAATCTGAACCTATAAGGGGTTTCATTAAGAATTGTCCATATAGTAACTGGAGAAACCTTAGCACAAAATACGAAGATTTAACCTCAAAAACTTAAACAAAATATTCTTTATTACCAATTTGTGTGTTTTATTACAAATATTCTTCTAAAAATGATTTTAGCCCATTGATTTAACACCTTCCAATATTGTTTGTTCAAATGAGGATACTTTAACTAGTGTTAAAAGATAGTTTTCTGCTGTTACCAGATGCATGCTGTTTTAGTGTATACTTCCTTTTTCCCTTCACAATCTACATCACTGTCGTAATAATCATTTCTATATGTTATTTTGATTCATTACTTTTTACAAATATCATCCTTTTGTATCAATGCAATAGAGTGAGTAGTTTTTAACTTAATTGTGTTTAAAGGTAATGTTTAAAATACATAATCTTATATTTTTGCTTATTTCACATGAGTGTCTTTAATGATTTAATCAAGTTGCTGATAAATTATGTATTAATTCTAATCCTAAATTTTCATGAATCTTTAATAGATTTAATCTTGATGAAACACCCTTTATACTAAAGCTAATATGGGTTATAGTAATCCAGTATATTAGTACCTGTTTACAAAAACAAAAGAGGTATACAACAATCGACAAATTACAGGGAGATAAAAAATTTGTAGACCCAGCTGGATTGCAAAATTGTTATGAAAAAACAAAAAAGAAGTATAACCAACAGTTATTACCCTCAAAATATGTAAGATAGTAATTGAATAAAACTGGAACAGTGGAGATGAGCTCTTGAGGAAAAAGGGAAAAACTTATTAATTAAGAGAAAAGAGTATTTGGTATGTTTATTTAAAGATGGAGATACTACAAATAAAATCATAACTTTGGATGATGAAAATTGTAAAAAGGAATAGTTTTAAGTACCTATGATCAGTATTACAGAGTAATGGGGAAATAGATAAAGATGCATGCAGTAGGGAGGGATAGATACAGTGGAAGAAAGTGAGTGGTGTGTTGCGTGACAAAAATATTTCAATGAAACTGAAGGAAAGGTCTTATAAAACTGCCATATGACCAGTTATGATGTTCAGAACTGAATGTTGAGCAGTTAAAAAGAAAGAGGAATAACAAATGCAATTGACAGAAGAATCCTTAGATGGACCAGTGGAGTGATAAAAAATTGATGACATTAAGAATGAGTATATTACAGGAAATCTAGGGAGCACCAGAATTTTCAAGGAAGATGTACGAGAGGAGGACCAAAGAAGACCTAGGATGAGAAGGTTAGGCAGGACATGTTGGTAATAAGGATTGATATTAGTATAGCCCAAGATAGAAATTTATAGAGAAATGAAAGCTGATAGAGCACATAGAGCATGATGAATTAGTAGTAAGCTTGTGGCTGGTATTTTAGTCTTTTTTTGTGGTTCATTCTGTATTCTGTATTATATAGGGGACTTTTTATTAGGACCCCATTTGTCCCAATTAACTCAAGTAAGGTCTGGGTTGGTCACATTCAATATAAGTGATGACTTGCTTGTAAGCAATTTTGAGTTGAAATTTGGCATGGGGTTATCACTGCCACTGTCATACCTGTTTACTTTTTTCATTTTACATACATTATTTGGATATAATATGTCTAAAAAAGTGTGTAAAAGTTATGCCATCTAGTTGCATTCAATTATATTTATAAAAAAATGGTAGTGATTCATATAATGGGGGACGGACAACAACAGTTGTGTGTTGCTTGTTTGAAAAATTTTGAACATACCAAATCGAATATCACTACAATAATAACAAATGCACCTAAGATTGAAACATTAGCATAAAAGTGTATACAGTAACTGTCATGGAAGTAACGGAAAAAATGATTAGTTATGAATTGAAAAAACTATTTAGGTCAGAAAAATATGCCATAAGAAACTAAAGAATTTGAAATAAGTGTGAAATTATTTGCAGAAATCTCTAGACTTCAGAACAAGTTATTTGTCCTTGTGACCTCATTTTTATGATCAATCAATCAATGAGGAATTAACAATATACTGTACAAGGAAAGAAATGATACCTAAACAAATGTCATTTGGAGGAGTGTAATAATGAAAATCAATAACAATGAAAAATGCCAAATAATGAAATAAGGGGGAAGATGTGAATGAATATTCTTATTATCTTATATTCTTATTATTATTATATTTTATATATAAGAGGAAGAATATGAAATTTTTAATGTTCATACAACTGTTTTATTGGAAAAAAGACCATCACACACCCTCATTGCTCATAATGCTTGTTGTGCTTTAAGTTTTAAAGCTGTGAAAGGTAGAGTTACTCTTTTGTTGTGAGCTAACTTTTCCGGAACTTTAAAACCACATATTTCCAAACATCACATGCTTTCAGGTGTCTAAATAAGGAAATATTGCCTGGCAATTGAAAATTGAAGAGATTTTTATCACCTGATTTTTTGGGTCACCAGCCATTATCCAAGAGAAGAACTGCCATGAACCAAGGCAATTCTTCTCTTGAATAATGCTTCTAGACATCCTCAAAACCTTGTTGAGGAAAGAACACCATTGGATGCCTAGATAATTTACATGCGCATGAATACATCAAGTTGGCAACCAATTCTTATATAAATTGTTGAGTGTTTTAGACTCAACAGAAAAAATGATTAAATATTATTGGCTGTGTTATGTTTTTCTAAAAATTACAATGTCAAAACACATGGACTGTGGCATAAACTTCTACCAAAATTTATACACGATTTTGATAAATTATGATATGGGGTTTCTCTTTGACATACAATTTTTACCTACATGTAATAGGTGTTTTTCAGTTTATGAAAATAAATTTATGGAAATAAATATTCATGTGACCTTTATTAATACCTGGCACTGAATATATTAAATAATTTAGTATATTTTACACATTATTTTTTTATGATTCAGGAAATTGTTAAGAGCAGTGAAAATTGAAAGAATTGTAAGTTTAAAATATTATTGATCTTTTGAAAAAATGGAAAACTGTCAAAAATTGCAAAACAATATCTATAATGGACTAATTCTTTTATTTAGAAGGATTGTAAAGTAAATATTACTTACAGTAAATACAATTACAGTCTTTACTAGAGCATATGTTTTAACTTGAGGACAGTTTGTAATTGTGTAAAACTAATATTAAAACATATATTTATAGTAGGAGATATGTGGATGATCAGAAATTATTTCACAAATACCCAAATAAACTAAATAAAAAATAAACTGTTTTTAAAATGAGCAAAACGCATAAACGTAAGACAAGTTATTATAACAGAGACTAAAAGCTCTAGAAAGATTGGACAAAGGAGAATCTGTGCAAGGTATTTGCAGGGATTTAAACGTGAGCAAAAGTACAGTCAACGACTGGCGGTACAATAGAAAAATTATCGAAGGCCTTTGTACACAAATTGAAACAGAAAAAGTTCTATAAAAGCATTGCACACTGAGAAAAACAAAACACGAATTGGTGGAAGATGCTATGTGGTTGTGGTTCGTCAAGAACGAATATGAGGAACACTGTTAAGTGGACCAATCCTAAAAGAGAGAGCTATGATCGTGCATTCAAAGCCTCAACTAGAAGAGGTATTCTTGGTTAGTGAGGGATGGCTCTCCCAACGGAAAAAAAGGCATGGAGTCAATTTTATTGGAGTTTGTGGGGAGAAGCTGTAAGATTTTATAATCATTGGTGACCAAAACTTGAGCCCAGAGCAAATATACAACATCCATGAAACTGGGTTAAATTTTAAACTTTTCTCAAGAAAAACCTTTGGCACTCTGCAAGAAACATCTTTTGCAGTGTACTATTTATCATTGCCACAGGAGCCAAACCAAGCTTGTTTAAAAACATAAACATTGAAACTCTCCCAGTGTATTACCGTTCGCAGAAATCAGCATGGATGTACATATATTTGTTCAGGGAATGGTATGTGTGCTAATTTGTTCCTAAAGTGAAAAAACATTTGAAAAAATCAAAACTGCCCATCAAAGCACTTCTACTTCTTCTTCTTCTTCTTGTGCCACTCCTATCGGAGAATAGAAATCATCAAGGCTATCCTGACCTTGTTTACAGCTGACCTAAAAAGTTCATTAGTTGTACAGCCAAACCACTCTCAAATTACGCAACCATGACATTCTTCTACGGCCTGGATTCCGTTTTCCTTCTATTTTTCCTTGCATTATATTTTGAAGTAATGCGTATTTATGTCCTCTCATCAGGTGACCCAAATATTCGAGTTTTCTTCGTTTGATCGTCGACAAAATTTCTGGGTCTTTTCCTATCCTTCGTATTACTTCAAAGTTTGTGACTCTTTCAACCCATTCGACATTACGGTAGCACCACATCTCGAAACTTTCAATATTTTTTATGTTGTTCTGTTTGAGAGTTCAGGCCTCTACACTGTATAATAGCGTGTTACATATGTAGCCCCTTAGCATTCTTAATCGTAGAGGGATGCTTATATCTCGGTTGCAGAAGAATTTCCTCATCTTTATGATACATCTTTTTATTTCATCGTTTTGGTCTCTAGTTTATTGAAGTCCCCAAGTATTTGTAACTTAAAACTTTTTTTTTTTTTTAAGTACTGAAGTTAGTTAATATGAAGGATGTTGTGTACATGTTCACCAAAAAGCATAAGACGAAATATCTCCGTCGACGTTTGTAAAGCCTTGGAAAAAACTTTGGCCAAATATAAAAGATAAGATTGACCAAGCAAACACAACAGCAGATGAGCCAAACAACATTCTTGCTAACGAATCTGATGACAATGTTCTAGCTCTATTATACGACCTTCAGCAACTACCGAACTGGGGTTCGGTATTTGTTGAAGAAGATGTTTAGGAATGGATCAACTTTAAAAGGAGATAGACAACGAGGTTTTGAATGGCGAAATCGCCGAGTGTGTCTTCGCCAGGAAAATAAGGATAATGACGCAGATGCTGCTGAGAGTGAAGACGAAGATGAAGAAAATAAAATGAGCCACGCTGAAGACAAAGTAGCTTTGCAACTGGCAGCTGCCTACATCCAACATCAAAAAGAAGCAACTGCCGTTGATGTAATGATTATTAAAAAGTTTCGTGACTTTGCATATAAAAAATCATTAGAAATGAAAATTCAGAAAAAAGTTACTGATTTTTTAAGTGTTTAAGAAGCCAAACCACCAATGAACAGTAATAAATTTATTAGGCGTACAGTTCTGTGTTTCGCTTTCAAGTGTTTTGTTTTTGCTAGATCCTTACAAACAATAAATGAGTATTTTTTAGATAGGCATCAGTTAGTTCGGCCTAGGGTTCAGTCCTGGGATGGCCGAACTTACGGAAGTCTACTGTACATGCCTTGTCCTCTTTGGTCTTTGGGATTTCATCTCCTAGACATTATAATTATAAAGTTCTTTTATTTCCATATTTATTCTTATTCTATACTGATTTATGCTCATATTGTGGTGAGGTCCGAAAATTTTTTTTCGAGCGTGCAGTCATTCAATTTTCGTGTGCTTGAAGGTTTGCAAGCATTGCAAATTCGTACGCGAATATAAACAGTGTATGAATAAACGCGACCATGTGCATTGGGTCCTACATCAACAGACATGAATGTGTCATGTGTAGAAGGCTTGATTAAAGAAAGTCATCGAATTTCAATCAGAAAATGTTGGTGTGAGTATAGGATCTGTCCATAATATCGTACACAAACTAGGTTACAGCAAAGTTTGTTGCAATGAGTTCTTTGCTTTTTGTCAGAGGACCAAAAAGCTCGTGAATGAGTTTATATGTGCAACATCTCATGGAGTACAGGCAAAATGGCTTGATAATCACTTTCTTTCGCCAATAATTGCTCGCGACGAAACTTAAGTGTCATTATTTTCAACCATCCATTAAGCTGTCATATAATCAATGGAAATAGGCGAATTCTCCACCACCAAAGAAATTGAAAACTCAACCTTCTGCACTCAATGTCATGTTGTTTTTTTGGATCTTATAGTTTACAGAACTTTTTTTTGTGTGAGGAAATCTTCATCAAAACCGTCAGAGTAGACCGCAATACCCCAAGAAACCTGGCTACTACGGTCCTCCCTGGTGTTGTGTGTTCTTACGTGTTCTTAACAAACTGTACTTCGGCTGCCCCGCTGCTCTCCCTCTCACTACTTCATGTCAGTAATGCCGACAGTGAAAAGGAATAGTTCATCTTTCTTATTTTATTTGATTCGTTTCATACAATAACAATAACAATATACACATTCATACACAATAATACCATACACACAACATAGACACATATAATATCCATAATAATAAGGAATAAAAGTTTTACAGTATTCTGTCACTTTCTCATTTCCCATCTTGTCTCGCTCTTTCTCGTGTTTAGTTTTTTTATTGTTTCTGTTATTAGGTCAACTATCACGCTAAAATTTTTTGCATTTTGCATGGCTACAGTCATTATATTCTCTGGTGTTGTCTCAACTAGCCTTGTTTTCATATCTTGTTGTTTATCGTGAAAACGTTGCAATGGAGTACGCAATGCTCTGTCCCGTCGCGCACTCCGCATTCTATACATAAATCGTCATCAGTTTTCCTTATGCGATATGTATAATGTATAAGATCTAAATGAGCTGTGTCCGGCAAGGAATTGTGTAAAAAGTAAATTGTTCTTTTAAACCTAGATTGATACCACTCTTTCACCTATGGAATTAGTGTCTTTTTCCATTATGCTTTTTCTGTCTGTGCCTCCCATTATTGTTGCCATTCGTTTAGCATTTATTCTCGTACCTCGGCTTTCACCCGCAATCATCTGTAGTTATCGTCGATATTAAGTACATACTTAATACCTTAAGGAGGGGTTTTCTTTGGGTTCTTGTTAATATTTCTTTATATTTTTTAAATCTTAACAGGTCAAGCCATACAGGTGCCTCATATAGGAGGGTCGACTGTACCACCTGGAGATACATTTTCCTTTTATGGGTACTCGACCCGCCTATATTTGGCATAATCTTTGTCACGGTAGCGGTTCTCCGTTCAGCCTTCTGAGCTATATTTATCAGGTGTTCCGTGTATATCAAACCTGAATCAAGGTGTATGTCCAAATATTTAGCACAGTTACTCGGCGCTATAATACTACCATTTAAATCAAAACTCAGATTTGGCCTCTGTCTTGGTTCCTTTAGTACTACTACATCTATTTTACTACTTGCCAACTTTAGGTCATTCTCTATCATCCACCTGTTGCCTTTTCTGTAACAACTTGTCACCTTATTTTCAATATCCCCATCTATATCAGAACCGTTTATAACAGTTTACAGAACCTAGACTGCATATTAACGCAAATCTGTGTAATGTTTCTTCGAACAAGCTCCATCAAGCAGTAAGATGAAAAAGTCCAGGGAAGCTCTCTAATGTCATTCTTCTATACGGCACAGCTCGGCATTGTATTGCCAAAGTAGTGAAAGAAAATCTACAACGAAAAATATGGAGGATATTAGAGCATCCAACCTCTAGTCTCGATTTATCGCCTTTCGATTTTCATATCTTTACATTTTTCTCAAGAAATGTGTGGTGCGGAATATTTCAAAATAAAATAGTTGGACCATTGTTTTATGATTATAAATTAACTGGGGAATCATACTTGCATACAGTCATTAGAGAAGTGGATGAGTTATTAAATCAAAATTATACACAAAATCAATGAAATAGTATGATATGGCAACAAGATGGAGCACCGCCACATAATGTCGGAGCCGTTCAAGAACACTTAAATAACCAATTTAATGTGTGTATCGGCAATAAGGGTACCATTACATGGCCACCAAATAGTCCCGACTTAACACCATGTGATAGTTTTTATGGTGACCAGAGACCACATTATATTTTATTAATGGAATATCTTAATAGTACTACCTTAACGGAATTAAAAGAAGTAACATACATAATATATTTTGTATATATTTTCCCCTTCAAAACTATAAAACTAACAAAGTACTGACAGATAAAATAAGTACATTTTGTAATGTATATATTTATTTCAGGCTATGGTAGAAGGGACGTAGTAGAATTTCTTTTATCGGCTGGAGCTTCAATTCAAGCTCGAGACGATGGAGGATTGCATCCATTACACAACGCTTGCTCGTTCGGCCATGCTGATGTCGTCAGGTTGTTACTAGAAGCTGGAGCTAATCCTAACACCAGAGACAATTGGAATTACACTCCACTACACGAAGCTGCAATCAAGGGGAAAGTGGATGTTTGTTTAGGTTAGTACATTTTAAAACATTTCTGTTCATTTAGTTTTGTATTATTCATATTATTCTGAAACTATTTTATAGTGGCATTTTTATGTTAGCTATTATTTGGGAAGTATGTATACCTCTTAACATATGTATTTGGTCTATAGTTGACCTCTTTGGTCTGAAGCCACATTGGTATTCACCAATCATCTCCTACGAAAACGATTCCAGGCGGCTGTATATAATTCCTGATAATATCTTGTAGACGATATTTAAAACTGTTATACCCCTATAATTTTTGCAGAGTCGTTTGTCTCCCCCTTTGTTTATAGGAAATATGATTCCTACTTTCCAATCTTCTGAGATGACTTCTAGTGTTCATGTGCGGTCGATTAGTTTATGGTTATGCCTCCATAGCGCATGTCCACCATTCTTTATCAGTTGTGCAGTTATTTCATCTGTGCCAGGTGCTTTGTTATTTTTTGGATGTTTTATGACGTTTATCGTTTCTTCCAATGTTGGTTGCTCAACTAGTTGTTCTGCTGTGTGGTGAATTATTTCTTCATCTTCGTTTTGTTCTTTTTCTGGGTTTAACAGCACTTGAAAATGCTCCTTCCACCTTTTCATTATTTGCTCTTTCTCGCTGATAATTGCCCCATTTTTGTCCTTGCAAACTTTGGATCTTGACATGTGTCCTTGAGTGTATTGCTTGGTTTCCTTGTAAAATTTTTTAGTCTCTCTTCTGTTATTAGTGGTTTTGGTTTTAGTGATATTATAGTTCTCATTTGAGGAAAGGTTAAGCTTAAAGCTAATGGTTTCTTTCGACTTTTGACTATCTAAGAAAAAAAAGACAAGTGATATAACAAAATTGAAGGGTGCGATCAAAAATACGCGGAAATTCGTTCATTTAGCTAATATATTTTAAGGTTATGAGCCAATAAAGTGGGATAATAGTAAAAAAACACGATTTTTTCGCAATTTGAGAATTTGAAAGTTAAAAATTATATTATTTTAACAATGATGATTCATAGCCCGCAAGAAAATAGATGAAAAAGCTTACATCTAACTAGGTATCTGATTTTGAGGTAAAGTAAAAAAAAGTGCGAAAAGGATAAAAATACGTGGTATTTTCGAATTTTATCTTTAGGAAGGAGATAAATGAGGACTTTTACAAAAGAATTTGATAATGTGGAAGAAAAAAATGTTGAATTACCAACTGCGTTTTGAGGTTATGTGCAAATAGATTAGTAAAAAAACACGGTTTTTGATGCATTCCGCTCAAAAATTCTGAGTTGGCCAATCAAAAGAACGAAAAAAAAAATACATAAAAAATTACTATTTAAAAGTTAGCCAAAATCATTAACATAACCTAAGAAATTATTGAAAATTTCAATGGTTTTTTCTAGCCTTAATTTTCAATATAAAAATTTAATTCGAAATTATATTCGAAAGGTTCATCTTCATGAATTTTTTCAGATTTTTTAAAGCCAAATTGCGTCCAGAAAAAAGTCAGGAAAAAAGAAAAAAGCTAAAAATTTGTATGGAGTCTTGTTTTTTATGCTTTATTGAAAGGACAAGTCGCGGTGCTGATCGGTGAGGGGGCACTTTTGACCATCTTATCCCGCTATAGCCTTAGCTAAATACAATATAAAATTTATTCAATAATTACATTTTCACTACTATCTTATATGTATGTTTAATTACTTCATTTTTATTATCAATATATTCTAAAAAATAAAACTACTGGTTTATGATGATTAAAATAAGGTTATTTATTTTATTTTAACTTATTTTATTTTGTTCATTTAACTAATTTAATTGAATTAATTTATTTTTAAAACTTATTTATTATTTAAAACCTACCTAGTTATACACAATGCACAATAATTTGTTATTTCTTTATAGCTCTTCTTCAACACGGCGCTGATGTTAATATCCGCAATACGGAAGGAAAAACTCCGCTCGAAGTAGCAGACGTTTCGACGCGACCTGTACTTACAGGCGAGTACCGCAAAGACGAGCTTCTAGAAGCTGCCCGTTCCGGAGCTGAAGATCGACTTTTGGTGTTGCTTAATCCGTTAAACGTCAATTGTCATGCTAGCGATGGAAGAAGATCAACTCCTCTTCACCTTGCGGCTGGGTACAATAGAAATAGAGTTGTACAGTTATTGCTTCAAAACGGAGCTGATGTCCATGCTAAGGATAAAGGGTATTTATTTATTTACACAATTAATTAAGGGTAACTTTAAAGTAACGTAGCTATATTTTATAATTCTTTTGTCTTGCAGAAAATTGGACGATAAATGTTTCCAAGTAAACGCCAAAATTAGTACCTTACTAATGCCATACGTGATATTTTATACTGTTTTGGACCACTTATAATAGAGCAATATTCAAAAGACAAAAATAGTGTATTAAAAAAAAAGCAATTGTATATTTTGAAAGGTTTTAAACATTGTATGATGAACCAAAATTACTGATAATTTTAATTTTCAAAAATATATGTGCCCCACGAGCTATTATGCCTAGAGCTACCCGTCTTTTAATGCTTCTAATGATGTTATCGGTGATTGCTGGAGGCAGATTCTTCCATGTTTCAAATAGAACAGTTTTCTCTTTCGTAATGTTTTGTTACTATGTTACTAATGTGTCAACTTTGTACAGTTGAAGTTTCGCCATCAGTCATCACTAACTCTGCGTGATCCTAAACATATGTATCTCCTCATAACAATCAAGCTTTATCCTAGTGAAACTGTCTTCTTCTTCTTCTTCTAATGGCGCTACAACCCTTTGCGAGTATTGGCCTGCTTAACAATTTTCTTCCATTCTGCCCTGGCGGATACTTTCCTTCGCCACTGCCTGATGTTCATGGTTTTAAGATCCCTCTCTACGTCGTCTATCCATCTTTTACGGGGCCTTCCTCTTGTTCTGTTTCCTTGGGACTTCCATATCTGGACTACTTTTACAGCTCGATTATCTGGCATTCTTTCTAGGCGACCAAGCCAGTTTAGTCTTTGTGACAAATCTAACAATATCTGCGCTCTGCATTAGTTCATCCAGCTCGTGGTTCATTTTAATTCTCCAAACCATCGCTGCATTGGGTTGGTCCAAATATCTTCCTTAATATTTTGCGCTCAAATATTCTCAGTTGATTTTCATCAGTGGTTGAGAGGGTCCACGTTTCACATCCATATGTGACCACTGGTCTAATTACTGTTTTGTATATTCTAAGCTTAGACAACTCAGTAACAGTAATTCAGTAACTTACTTTTCATCAAGTCTTTGTATATATAAAAGCTCTTATTACCGCTAAGAGTCCGTGCTTGTATTTCTTGACTGATGTTGTTGTTGTCATTTAATATTGAGCCTAGGTAGGGACAAGTAGAGGCATATTGGTAGGTATGGTTGTCTACTTTCCGATTCCCTAGTGAAACTGTATGAGTAAAATTAAACTGTTCATTTTGTTCTCCTGAGAATCGATATATTCTTTTCATCCCATAATAGAGTTTACACAGAAGCCAATCTCATGCACAAAACTCGGCCTCAATCACCATAATTCCAATTTTGATGTTCTCTAGCAAATGCTAGTCGTGATACTCAATGATGTTTTTGAAGTTTTGTCGCTTTTTTAATCTGTATGACTATGAGAAAGTACTGAAACAGGCTTGGACTTAAATAATTTTTCATATAGTGCATCAAAAAGTATAACCGTAAAAGTATAAAAATTTGCCAACTCGCAAAGTATTCTCGTACTATTTTCAAGCTTGTATGAAAATCCACAGTGTTTTAAAACGCAAATTTTTATTCGAAGCGTTGTATATTTGCTTATTTTTCAGAGGATTGGTTCCATTACACAATGCTTGCTCATATGGTCATTTCGAAGTAACTGAAATGTTAATTAAGCATGGTGCCAATGTAAACGCAAATGATCTTTGGGCTTTCACACCTCTACATGAAGCTGCTTCCAAATCGAGATTAGAAGTGTGTTCTTTATTGCTGGCTGAAGGCGCAGATCCTCATCAATTAAACTGCCATTCCAAGTCTGCCATAGATGTAGCTCCAACTAGGGAACTGCAGGAAAGACTTGCATGTAAGTATAAATGTATGTATAAATCTGTCAAAATAATTTACTTAAATAGTAATCGTTTTCCATACTCAGGTCCAGACAGTAATTAAAAGAATGATGTAGTGTGCTCTACCCAAGAGATATGTAATATTGTGTACCTCCATTTTGAAAGTTTCAAGTCTGATGTTATATATGAAGGTCGTATGTTACTTAGTAACGACCGCAATGATATTTTGTTACAAAATCTATTCGTTTATTATATACGTAGATGTTGATATAGAGGAGCTATTATTAAAATTTGAACAAAAGTACTGGACTTATAACAAAGAAAAAACTCAAGTAGTGTGATTATGTAGATTTAATAACATACAAACAGCGAAAACCAAAGGATGTGACAAAAGAAGATTTTTTATTTGATATTGTTGTAAGGCTTCTAAACTATGTGCTCTTCCGAGGTACCTGAATATATCGCTAGTAGTTGTATATGGTTTACCTTTTAGTGCTTTGGCAGTTTTAGTGAACTACAATGAGGTGTTATCAAATATCCACTTTTTCCAGGACCGTTAGCACCACAATACTAGGCTGTTAAATAAGTTTTGCGGTTCTATAAGAAAAAAACAATTTTATTAGAGTTTGAAATATATTTTATTTTTCAGTATAGTTTCCCTGAACATCAGTACGCTTGTTCCAACGAGATTCCAATTTATGAATTCCATTCCTGCAGTGAGAATCTGAAAGGACTGCAAATTTCGATTCCACAGCTGTTATGACCTCATCATTTCATAAAAAACTCTTTCCACGCATGAATTTTTTAGGTATTAAAACAAATGGATGTCGCTAGGGACCAAATCTGGTGAATACGGTGGATGTTCCAACAATTCAAAGTTTAATTAATGGATTTTAGCCATTGTCAAAATGCTCATAAGACACGTTGCATTGTCCCGATTAAAAATGATCCTTTTCTTCTGCAAATCGAGACTTTTTTCACGAATTTTTTACTTCAGCTGAACTAAAAGGTTACAATAATATTCACAATTTATTGTTTTACCAGTGTGCAAGTAATCCACAAAGAAAATTCTTTTTATATCCCAAAAAACTGATGCTAACACCTTCTTGGCTGATTTCTGGACACGAACTGGTTTTGGGGCCATAGAACCAGCTACACACCACTTTTTGTTTTGATTAAATATCATGGTGAAAGACTTAAGTTTCATGCATAGTAATAAATCAACGCTCAAAAAACTTTATCCTTTAGAAAACACTCTAAATGTTGCTGAGAAAGTCACATTCGAATGTGTTTTTGTTATATTGTTAGTGACTGCGACACCCATTGTGAACACAGCTTTCTGAAACCCAATACTTCAGTGAAACTATTGCCCTACCACTGCCCAATAAGACGCCTAGGACTTCTACTAAATCTATACGATATAAATACGATATCCTGTATTTTTCTACGATTTCTGCTGTTGTTGCTGTTTTTATACATTCTTAACGTGGATCGTCTTCAAGGCTTGTACGACTACGTTTAAATTTAGCAACTCATCTTTCTACTTAACTAATTGAAGGCCAAAAGTCCTTATACATTTTTAACATTCTTTTATAAATTTCATTTGCTTTTAAACCCTCAAAAAATAAAAATTCAATCACTGCACGACACTTGATGTTTTCCATTGTAAAAAACTACCGTGATACGTCGATACTAAATTGCTTATAAACAAAGAATGAATTGACAGATTGAAATGAAACTTCATATACATTCATATGAAGAGTGTACCAACATAACAAAAAAGTTAGGCTAGTAGCGACGCCCTCTCTTATCCAACCGCAGAACTTATTGAGCAGTTTATTGTTGCTACTATTTTAATTAACAATTAATGATTGCTGCAAATGCAACTGCAAAGAGTATCACATTTTTAAAACTATATAAGCACATGATGAACTGATTTTAATTATAAAATAAGAATGTTTTATTTTTTTTTCACTAATGCTTTCTGTTTTAGATGAATATAAAGGCCATCTTCTACTTGATGCAGCACGACAAGCTGACACGACAAAAATTAAGAAATATCTTACTCCGGATATAATTGGTTTTAAACATCCCTATTCGGGAGATACCGCTTTACATACAGCCGTCACCTCCCTTTATCCTAAAAGAAAGCAAGTTTTAGAAACACTAATAAGGTAAGATTTTGTCCATTTTTAAAATGTATAGATTCTTTTCCTTTTTATTAAAGTTAAGTATTTTGCTCAAGAGATTGGTGCCGTTTTACAAAACAACATTACGCAGTTACTTCTTACCAATACTCTACATATTTTACAATTCTAAGACTTTGATCGCGGAAAATATTATTTGATTTCAAAAACATGTTTCTGTTTGATATCTTGTTTGATATCTTTTAGATGGTTTAGAAACTAGAGGAGTTCAATTCCGTAAGAACGTATATGACTGCACCTGTGCAAGAAGCGGCGAAACCTTGCATTTTTTTAGCACATAAGTAGTATCATTGAAGAAAATGGGATATCGCAAACGTTAACGTTTGTAAAAATACAACAAGAAATAGTCAATTTAAGTTCTATTCGTTTCCAAATTATGAGTACAAATTAATGCAAAGAGAAAAGTGGATTTCTAAAATATATAACAATAATTATTGTCTTAAATAATCAAGTTTAAGTTATTTTATTTCCAGTTTACTAAAAGCTTCGCTGATATACGACACTAGATGTCGTTCTTCCGGAATTGTTTACCTTCTAATAATATGTATCTTTTATGTTCAAATGATTAAATCTAAAAAAATATGGTTGCCCATTTTTACAATTAAAAATCCATAAAAAATTTTTCGAAGTTAAATATTGATATAAATTACAATAATTATGTATTGTATTAAATAAACAAGTCTAATTAATTTTATTTGCAGTTTACTAAAAACTTCGTTGATCTATGACACCAGGTGTCGCTCTCTCGAAATGTTTACCTTTTATTAACCTCTATCTTAAACAATTAAAAATCGTTCGAAGTTAATTATTTATATAGATTACAATAATTATTGTATTAAATAAACAAGTTTAGGTCATTTTATTTGCTTAGTTTGTAAACTACTAATGTATTAAAAGTGCTACAAATTTCACTTATATGATACACTGATATGATTATGGGCATAACTCCGAATAAATTGTTACTTTTAAAGAAATTACCTATACAATTTTATTAGACATTAATTTAAATATAAACTGTGGTAACTAGATAAATTTATGTAATGTAAAAATGGTTAAATTTTATCATTTTGTTAACCCCTGTTAGAGTTTAGCCTTTTTTCCTGAAAAACATTTACTTTAACTTTGTTACGATAATCATTTTAAAAGTGAGTTGTATCTAACGCTCCTATATGCAAAACAGACTCGGTAATCAACACAAGAGCTGTCAATATTCAAACAATAAAGACCAATTAAATGAAATCGTTTATTTTATACTCTGATTTTAAACACTAAAAAAATTATAAGCTTTCGTAAAATGGTCGATGGTATCCAGGAATAACATTTTTTTCAATCAAATGCAATAATCCACTTTTCTTTTTAGCAGTGATAGAAGGTTTTTTTGTATAAATATTTTTCAAGGTATAAGTTAGGTTAAAAGCTTTTGATGTCTTGTAACAAGTTGTCATTTTGCCAATCTAACAAAAATCTTTGTGATTGTGAGAATTCGGCCAATTTGCATGCCCTACAGAGGCCGTAGAGTTAGAAAATGAATGACAAGGTTATAGAAAAAAATCTATAGGTAGATAACTAAGATAAATAAAAGTGATTGTAGAAGTCGCTCCAAAATGTGAGTGGGCCCCAGGAAAGTATTTACATAAACTTTCCAAGGTATCTTGTAAAGATGTTTGCTGAAATAAAGAAAGGATATAGGTATGAATTGAAATATTTAGTTTTCACAAAAACTTTAATCCCTAGCCAAATATATACAATCTAAATTTAATATACCCACTACCAATTATGTACAGCTAATCTAGTTATATACAAAAAAAAATAAATGCCCTGGTTATACAACTGATCCTGGATGATCTAAATTTACAAATAATAAAATATGGAAAAAAAATGGTAATAATTGACCTAAAAAGGTAATTTATTTGCCTCAGGGATGCAACTCTGTATTCAGGCTTTATTGAATATAACAGTAACAAGTAATAAGGACACTATCTTGACGAGATAAGTGTCCAAACGTTTAAATATATATTAATAATAAAATCTAAAAAAAAAAAAATAACTCTCTGATTAAATGTGTACACAAGAAACCATACAAGTGAGTTAGAAGGGAGGACTTAAAACCTCTACCTGTAGTTGACAATTTGTATTTAAATATTATTCAGTAAATTATTAAAAAAAATGACGACTCTTATTATTAGATGAAATACTAGAAGTTAATATACAAAAAATATTATAGGTAAAAAAAAATAAATCTAAGAAATAAACTTAATCCAGATTTACTATATTTTAAGGGAGATAATTCCCGCTGGTTTCCTAAAATTTGTTTCGTAATCGGAAGGTCAGATCTGGACCTCTGGGGAGCAGCTACGGCAAGGAAAAAAAAACAGGTCTGGAACCAAGTATAACCGGACTAGGTTTCAACTTAATAGGTACTTCTTATTCCAAAATTATTCATAAAAAAAACAAAAGCAAATTCTTCCCCCGACTTCTGTTTGAATCCCAAAGGTAGGTTACTCGGCTTGCATGTTGCACAAACTCTACATCTCGAAATGTATTTCTTAACTGAGTTGCGCAGACCAGGCCAGTAATATAGCTCAGCTATCTTACTATAAGTTTTATAGAAACCAAAGTGACCTGATGTCACATCATCATGAAAGGTTTTCAACACTTCATCCCTATTAGCTGTTGGGACTACTATTTTCCAATCAGACATATTCGATAAAGATTCGACAGGACTGATTACATGTTACTACAACTACTTTGTATTCTTGATGGGCAAATGAGGTCTTATAAAAAAAAAACCTCATCATTACTAGTTACGCGTATTATTTTAGCTTACTAAACTTAACTCTTAACTCACTTACTTACACTTAACTCAAGAATATATTCTCACAAATATGACAAAAAAACAGCCCTCATAAAACATGAAAATAAAAAGAAACACATTTGATTTTGACAAAACTAAGATCCTAACAACAGTACAGAATAGAAAGCTCCTGGAGTCATAGAAATTAAAAAAATAAGTCAATAAATTATAAATAGATATCAAAAATGTAAACCAAATATGTATTTCAATTTAATTTAAAATAATCAAAAGAATAATTTTAGAACGCCTATGGTATAAAAGCAATGTGTTGCTTAAATGATAAACCTAACATCAATGAATACCATATTAAATTTAAGAAATTATTTACTTGTAATGTCTTAGTGGATCTGTCCTATGTTCTTACCATTATTTTAATTGTGATTTTTAATTGTGTACTTTTTCGTAACCAACTTTTACATGCTTGGTAATTCAAAGATTATTTTTAAATCTTATTATCTTTTGTGCTAAAGTGTTTTTTAGTTAATAATATTTCTCGAATATGGCATGGATATCCTGCCGAAACGTTGAAAAAAGTAAATAAAAAATGTCACAGTATCACAAACAACCTATAATATGAACCTAAGCCCAAGAGATTCTACTAAAAAAATATATTAAGGTTCAAAAACCTTAATTATTAAGGGCAGGTTATTTGTTCTAATCCTCAAATATTTATTTTTCTATAAGTTAATTAACAAATAATATTTTTGGAAACACAAAACAATAACGAAAAGTTATTATCCTTTTAAATATTTATTTTTTGATATTTATACTAATTATTCTGTATACAGAAAATGTTTATTACAATTATACTGTAATTATCGTAAAAAATTAAAATAATGACGTCAATATGTAAAATTATCTAATGCATAATAAAATTATTTCAAAAGTAAGGAATGTTGTAAACAAGTTTAATGCCCTTGGTATTGTACTTGTTAAATATGAGGCGTGAATAGTGAAATACGTAAAAGCTCCAGGACTAATGAATAAAAACTTAATAATCTCCTACATTTTTGGGAATAAACCACAATTATAATAAAAACTATTTTAATTTGATTGCGGAAAAATAAAAATTTGCTATTGCTATATGTATCATCATCATCATTTTGGCTTTACAACCCTGTGAGGGTCCTAGCCTCCCCAAGAATTCTCTTCCAGTCGTCCCTATCCATCGCCTTCCTCCTCCAAGCACGTATTTCCATATTTCTCATATCTTGGTCTATGTTATCTAGGAATCTTGTTCTGGGTCTTCCTCTTTTTCTTTGACCAATAGGTCTATCAAGGAGCGTTTTTCTAGCTGGGTCGGTTTGCTCCATCCGCATTACATGGCCTACCCACCTCAGACGTCCTGTCTTAATGTGTTTTACGATATCTGGTTCCTGGTATATTCTATAGAGTTCGAAGTTGTATCGTCTTCTCCAGACACCATTTTTATTTACCGCTCCATAGATTCGCCTCAGTATTTTTCTTTTTTCGAAACATCCTAACATGTTTTCATTGCTTTTTGTTAAAGTCCAGGTTTCTGAACCATATGTTAGGACTGGGCGTATTATTGTTTTGTAGAGTTTTACTTTTGTATTTCTTGATATAGCTGTAGATTTAAAAAGGAGATTAAACCCAAAATAGCATCTATTAGCCGTGCAAATTCTGCGGTTTATCTCTGCGGTAATGTCATTTTCAGTATTGACGAGCGTTCCCAGGTATACAAATTCGTTAACTGCTTCGATGACGTCGTTTTCTATATCAAGTGGCCGTCGTATTTGTGGTTGCGGACCTACTTTCATGTATTTCGTTTTATTAATGTTTATTATTAAACCCATTTTTGTAGCCGCTTCCTTTAGTGCTACATACGCCTCTCGTGCTGCGTTTTCCGTTCTCCCAACAATATTGATATCATCAGCATGTCGGTAACGGGAAAAGCCTCATGCCTTGGGGGCGTGAGACCAGGCTCCGTACACGCTCTGTCCGTCGCTTGTGACCTAAGGGCATAAGGATCACGGTCGGTGGCCATAGTGGTGTGCTATGGACACTCTGTACCTAAGGAACAAGTCTGCCTGAATAAAATGCAAATAAATATTTGTTTATTGCAAATATAAGATACAGATAAATAAAATAACAGC